ATTTGAGATGGAGTCTTGCTCTGTTGCCAGGCTCCTCATCTTCCCAAAGTGTTGGGATTACAGGCATGAGCCACCGCGCCTGGCCAGAGACAACTTGTTTTTAAAACAGTGGCATCCTTCCTACAAATTCTCACTGGGCTTTGGCACCTGCTAGCCTCTCCAGTAGTTGGGCACAGATAAGATGAGCAAGGGCTGGAGCTGGCCCTAAGCCGGAAGTCAACAGGCTGCCTGCTGAACATGGTCTGCTAAAACGGCAAATGACAGAGCAGCAGAAGGCTCACCTCATCCATGCCAGAGGCAGTGAAGAAGATCCCAACCTCCTCGGCATACTTCTGCAGCTCCCTGTACTGGTCATGGCTGAACTCCAGATGTCGTTTGTGCTCCCCATATGTCTTCCCCCAGGAATGCTTCGAGGTGTACGGCCTCGCCAAGGCTTTCCGATTAAACTTGAATTCCAGCTCACTCTTCTGGAACTTGGCACAATCAGCCCCACACTCCTATAACACACATTAGGATGCCTTTCAGTGACTGTCACTGATCTCAAAAAAAGGAAAAATTCTGGGGCAACCACTATGACATCGCCATCTTTATTTGTTATTTATTTATTTATTTTGAGACAGAGTTTTGCTCTTTCGCCCAGGCTGGAGTTCAGTGGTACAATCTTGGCTCACTGCAACCACTGCCTCCTAGGTTCAAGCCATTCTCCTGCCTCAGCCTCCCAAGTAGCTGGGATTACAGGTGCCTGCCACAACACCCAGCTAATTTTTATTTTTAGTAGAGACAGGGTTTCGCCATGTTGGCCAGGCTGGTCTTGAACTCTTGACCTCAGGTGATCCACCCGCCTTGGCTTCCCAAAACTGGGATTACAGGTGTGAGGCAGCAGTCCTGGCCGATATCACCAACTTTAAAAACAACATAGACTGACAGAGACCTTAAGGACCTCCGAAGAAGAGGAACACAAAAGGCAAGAATGTCTGAAAGGAAGAAAAGGTTGTTTGGAGATGGGAGATCTTCCCCTATTTTTTTCTCTTAACATGCCAAAAAAAGGGGGGAGGGCTTTATTTCCTTTGTTTTGCATTATAAATATGAAAAATACTGGATCAGAGAGTTAAGGAAGATTTTAAGTTATATAACTCAGCAAAGGATAGTAAAATGAGCACTGAACCAGAATTTAGTAAAGAAAGATTCTGGTTTAACTTTGACCCTAACTCTTAGATAAGTCACTTCCCAGCTCTAGACTCAGTTTCTCCATCTATATAAAGAGCAGGTTGGGCTACCTCCAGGACACGTAAACTGTTCTGAGGCTTTCTAAGGGACAGGGAAACCCAGGGACAGTACCTCTTTCTCTGACTTCAACAACAGCAGTTCTGCTTTTAGCTGCTTTGCACTGACACTTTTCTGCATGACATTTTCTTTGAACAGGTTAGGTGGCAAAAAGCAGACAAAACAGAAATGCCCCAGCCCCTAGGTGACTTCTAACGAGCAGAGGCAGTAATATAAAAGCTGGATTGTTTGACTATAAAAGCTATAACTAAACAAAACAAAACAAAAAAACCACTCAAGAGGTCAGGCACAGTGGCCCATGCCTATAATCCAAACACTTTGGGAGGCCAAGGTGGGAGACTTACTTGAACCCAGGAGTTCAAGACCAGCCTGGGCAACATAGTAAGGCCCTGTCTCTACAAAAAACACTAAAAGTAGCCAGGCATGCATGGTGGCATATGCCTGTAGTTCCAGCTACTAAGGAGGCTGAGGCGGGAGGACTGTTTGATCCTCAGAGATCAAGGCTGTAGTGAGCTAATGGTGCCACTGCACTCCAGCCTGCATGCCGAGTGGTGAGACTGTCTCAAAAAAAAAAAAAAAAAAAAAAAAGAAACCTACTCAACAAAAAGAGTAATTAAAGCCCACTAAAGTCTCATCTCACTGCCATTTCTGTAGACACAGAGGTATTCATGCTATTAAAAACTTCTTGGGTCTAGAAATGTCAGTGCTGAAATCACTACTCCTGCTCTTGGACAAGTCATAAGATGGTAGGGTCAGGACTTGATGCTGGAAAGTTCAAAGAACATTAGTACCGAAAGTGACCTCAGGCAACAGAGTTCTCATTGTCTCATATCTAAATGAAGATCCCAAGTCTAGATGAACTCATGTCTAGATAAAGATCCCAAGGCCCAGACTCACCTAACGTTGCACAGTGTCTGTAGCAGAGCTGGCCAGATCCCTTTCCAAAAGGCTGCAGCCACCTGGATCCCAGCTCAATGGAATTAGAAACAGGGTCTCACTATGTTGCTCAGGCTGGTCTAGAACTCCTGAGCTCAAGCAATCTGCCTTCTTCAGCTTCTCAAAGTGCTAGGATTACAAGAATCAGCCACTGGGCCTGGCCAGTATAGCTTTGTTTCTATGGTTTCAATATCTCTAGATATTTTTACAACTTCAGCATTCCAAGAGGAAAAATAGGCTGCTCCTTCAAATTAAGAGCAGGAATTTCCCCCTAGATAACAATGTTGCAGAAGAAAGGCTGGAGCCCCATTGCTTAGGAGCAAAATCTGAAAAATCCCTTACTGTATTTATTATACTATCTATGTGCTGTTGGCTAAGCCACTTATTTTCTCTTAGCCTTTAAAATGAAATTGGCAGTATCAGGGCACTGGGTTGTTGTAAAAATTAAACGAGATGGTGCATGTACAGCATTTAGCTTAGTATCTGGTAGAGTAAGCACTCAAAAAATGTTAGCAATGTTACTTTTGTAAAGTATTTTTATGACTCAGTGGCTAGCTTTCCATAAAATCAGTCCTGAAACAGTAAGGGCTTAATGCAGTGGCTCACATCTGTAATCCCAGCACTTTGGGAGGCAGAAGCGGGCAGATTGTTTGAGTTCAGGAGTTTGAGACCAGCCTGGGCAACATGGCCAAACCCCATCTCTACAAAAAATTAGCCCAGTATGGTGGTGCACACCTGTGGGTCCCAGCTACTGGGAGGGTGAGGCAGAAGAATCACTTAAGCCTGGGAGGCAGAGGTTGCAGCGAGGTGAGATCACGCCACTGCACTCCAGTCTGGGCAATACAGAGAGACCCTGTCTCAAAAAAAACAGAAGCAAAACCAAAACAGAACAAAAGAACCTTAAGATAAAACCTCCAGCCTGGGTGATAGAGCAAGACCCTGTCTCTAAGATAGACACATAAATAAACATTTTAAAAACCTAATCACAAATGACACAGAATCAGTTGAGCAACACTGATGAAGGGAAAGGAAAGATGGGGCTAGCTATCTCTAATCTAAAGAATCATAGTGCAGGCCAGGCCTTAAGCTGGGGTTGTAATGAAGAATATGGTAGTCCCAAGAGAAGAGGGAGTAGGGAGAGCTATAAATATCCTATCACTAATAGCTCACATTAGGCTGGGCGCAGTGGCTCACGCCTGTAATCCCACCACTTTGGGAGGCCGGTGGATCACCTGAGGTCGGGAGTTTGAGACCAGCCTGACCAACATGGAGAAACCCCAACTCTACTAAAAATACAAAATTAGCTAGGCGTGGTGGCGCATGCCTGTAATTCCAACTACTTGGGAGGCTGAGGCAGGAGAATCGCTTGAACCCGGGAGGCAGACATTGCAGTGGGCCGGGATCGCGCATTTATGGACTCCTGTGTGCCAAGTGCTGGGCTCAGAGCTCTGAGAATCTCATTTGATCCCCATAACAATTCCATGAGGTAAGAACTGTTACTATCAAGCCCCGTTTCCAAATGAGGAAACAGGTTCACAGAGGCTAAGTAACCAGCCCACATACACACAGCTAGTAGTGGTGGAGTCAAGATTTGATCCAATAGCCCCAGCTTTTAACCACTTCATATTCCACATACAGGGAATGGCGGGTGAGAGACCACAGCAACTTCCAGTAACTGTTATTCCTGAAAGTAACTGTGCCGCTGAAGAATGTCAGAGATGAATTATGACGGGCTTTTAGGGGCCCAGTCATTAAGATCCTGAAGGCTGTGTTAAAGGATTTCCACTCGGCCGGGCGCGGTGGCTCACGCCTATAATCCCAGCACTTTGGGAGGCCGAGGCGGGTGGATCACGAGGTCAAGTGATCGAGACCATCCTGGTCAACATGGTGAAACCCCGTCTCTACTAAAAATACAAAAAGTATCTGGGCATGGTGGCGCTCGCCTGTAGTCCCAGCTACTCGGGAGGCTAAGGCAGGAGAATCGCTTGAACCCGGGAGGCAGACATTGCAGTGAGCGGAAATCGCGCCGTTGCACTCCGGCCTGGGTAACAAGAGCGAAACTCCGTCTCAAAAAAAAAAAAAAAAAAAAGGATTTCGACTGTACCGTGGGCAGGAGGGAACCACAGAAGGTACCGGGCAGGGGGTATGGTCTGATCAAGTCTGGGTTTTAGAAAGAGTATTCTGGTAGAACGGGGATGAAAGAGGTCGGGTTAGGAGGCAGCAGCTGTAATGCAGAAAGTTCAGGAGGATGGCGGACAGGGTGAAGAAGAGATATCCGAAGGATTCCGAAAACGGAACTGGCTGGCAGGAGGAGGCCGGACCAGGGAACCGAGCGGCGGAGGCCGTGGGCCCTGGCTCCCCGTGGCCCCACCCCGCCCCGCCTGCCGCTCGGGTCCGGGAGCTCGCGCCTCACCTTGGCCACGCGGATCATGCGTTTGGCCACGTCCAGGTCGCCCTGGTGGTTCTGGCCGATCTCGGCAATGATGAAGCACGGGTGTTGCCCGCCCACCCAGCGCCCGGGACACAGTTCCAGCTCCAGCGGCATCGCGGCGGCCTGCGCTCCAGCACCTCACTGCCAGTGTTGGTCCGGCCGCCGCCGCCTCGGTGGGTTTGGTGAGCAGAGCTGCAAGACCCACACGCCTGCCCCGCCACGTCAGCCCGCTGCCGCCGAGCAGCCAATCCCCCGCATCCCGCCTCGCTCCCGACAGCCAATCGGGGCCGGGGGCGGAGCGGGGCCTCCCGCCCGGTAGGGCGGGGCGGAGCAAGGAAGCTCTGCGCCTGTCTCCGGAGCTAGGCTTGTGGCTCCCTGTCCCAGACTGCCGGCTCCGACCGACGCGGGCTCAGTGCGTGCACCCGGGAGCAAGCATTCCCTGAAGGTAGGCGACTGGCTGCCTGCGCAGGGTTTAGTTTATGTCCAGCTCCCAGGAGAATGGGGGAGAGCGCGCCCTACGGTGTAATGGAAAAAAACAGGGCTGCTGGAATTAGAATTACAGAACTGGGTCGAGTCCAGTCTATGCCACTCACCAGCTCCTGCTCATATTTACGTTACTCAGTCTTTCTGAGCGTTTTCTTTCTCTCTGAAGCAAAATAATAAACTAGAACTGTGAGATGATGTATAGAAACCCTTGATCACATTACTTGGCTTGTAGTAAGTTTTCAAGAAGTAGAGGAGATTCCTATTATATGAGAGGCGACAGGTGCGAGAAGTTGCACTGACTTGTCCAAAGCCATCCCGACCCTGGCCTCGCAGCCCCGGGCTCTTAAAATACACTCACCTGAAACTCTGGCTTTCAGGCAAATTCCGTAAAGACTGATTTCCGCGAGAGAGCACCGGGGTGGAACGTGATAAGGGCAGGTTTTGGACATATTGGTGTAAATGAAACCACCACTACAAAATTATGACGGAGACAGTGAAAGAGATCTGACCTAATCAACTTCATCTTCTAACCTCCAAGCTGTCCTTGTTCATTCCTGGGAGTAGGCCAAACTAACTTTGGGAGAAACTTTGTTTATAGTTTAAAACAAAGGGCCAGGAATGGTGCCTCACGCCTGTAATCCCAGCATTTTGGGAGGCCAAGGTGGGCGAATCACTTAAGGCCAAGAGTTTAAGACCAGCCTGACCAACATGGCAAAACCCTGTCTCTACTAAAAATAAAAAAAAATTGGGCCAGGCATGGTGGCAGGTGCCTGTAATCCAGCTACTCAGGAGGCTGAGGCAGGAGAATCACTCGGGTTGCAGTAAGCCCAGATCACACCACTGCACTCCAGCCTGGGTGACACAGCAAGACTCTGTCTCAAAAATAAATAAATAAAAAGTAAAACAAGGTAACAGTCCTTTCCCAAAATAAACCTCCTTCTTGCCTGGGGACTAGACTGCCTTTGTAGGACTAACAAATTGGCCACAAGATTGGAAATTTAGGATTCATGCAGCTGGAGGCTACAAGATTCTGACTCTCCCCAGATTCCTCTTGGGGATAACATCACTGTTGTAAAACCTAAGCTTGAGATATTTTGCAGACCCTGCACTTGATGGATCAGCTGGCACCACCAGATTGATAAACTGGCTTATCTCACCTTGTGGCCCCAATCCAGGAACTGATTTGGCACAAGAAGACAGCTTTGACTTTCTATGATTTTATCTCCAACACATCCAATCAGCACTCCCGACACACTGGCCTCTCTTGACCCACCAAATTATGCTTAAAAACTCTGATTCTTGAGGCGGGGTGCAGTGGCTCACACCTGTAATCCTAGCATTTTGGGAGGCTGAGGCAGGTGGATAACCTGAGGTCAGGAGTTCGAGACCAGCCCCACCAACATGGTGAAACCCCGTCTCTACTAAAACTACAAAATTACCTAGGTGTGGTGGCAGGTGCCTGTAATCTCAGCTACTTGGGAGGCTGAGGCAGGAGTATCACCTGAACCTGGGAGGTGGAGGTTGCAGTGAGCCAAGATTGCGCCATTGTACTCCAGCCTGGGCAACAAGAGTAAAACTCCATCTCAAAAAAACAAAAAACAGAAAAAAACCTCTGATCCAAATGCAAGGGGAAGTTGATTTCAGTAATAATAAAATTCCAGTCTCCTGCACAGCGGCTCTGCATGAATTACTCTATTGCAATTCCCCTATCTTGATAAATCAGCTCTGTGTAGGCAGTGGGTATGGTGAACCCACTGAGCAGTTACATATCTGGGGGCTCGTTTGGGATTACTTTCGTGCCACCTGCCCCTGGTTCTGTAGACCCCCTCTGGCAATGGATCCAGAGGCCAGCCCAAGCGGCCACCTAGTTTTAGACTGGGGGCTGACTTTGGCATTATCTCCATCGGCAGAGCACTGCTAGCCCAATGTGTATGGAGTACATTTTGCAATACAGAAATTGTCCTGGGGAGATGTCCCATAACTATAGTTCCATAGTGAGGTGTCTGTCTGTAGTTCCACTATGGGTGCCTGTAACTAACCCCATCACAGTGTCTGTTTGTACCATCGTCATGGCATGTCTGCAGCTGTAGCCCCATTATCGGGTGTCTGATTTGGTATTCTAGGCGCTGCCAGCACCCCGTTCCTTCTCCCAGTTGGTTCAGCTCCTTTAGGGGTCTTGGTTGGCTCTCCGTAATTAGTAGGAAGAGTCTTGGTTCTGGAGACTTCTCCTCAATCAGTAAGATTTCGGGGAGGTTTCTCAGATGGAGGATGGGAGGACAGTTTGGAAGGAGCACTCTTGGAATTCTTGGTTAGGGATCTTGTCTTTGTGGGTGTATTTGTATATGTGGAGGGATCCCTGAAGGAATTGCTGATGCAAGTCCAGCAGGCTTAACTCAGAGAACCCTCTGTAAGTCTGCTCACATTCAATGAGCCCTGAAAAAAGCTTAACAGGCCTGACTGCTCTTTGTCTTGCCCAGAGACTGCTCATTGAGGCCGTCCCTCCCCACCTTGAATGGATCAAAGATGATAGAGAGCAAAGGAAGAAAGTTTGAGGCTTGCCAGGTTGATATTGGGAGCCAAATGAGGTGACTACTGTCTGTTTGGTTATGTGTACTTTGCTGGGATGGAAAATGTTAATTCGGTTTCCCATGCAGCCTATCGGGCAGCATCTTCCAAGTTGAGAAGCTTTGCCTATGGTTCCATAAAACAGGAAAGGATGATTTTTTTTTTTTTTTTGGTAGTGGGGATTGGCCCCCACAGCTATAGCATAGTGAGCAGGGTCATCAAAGGCTGCTCTATGAGCCGAGATCGTGCCACGGCTCTCCAGCGTGGAGCAAGACTCTGTCTCAAAAAAGAAAAAAAAAAGGACTTAGGAGCCGTGTAAGCCAACTGTCCAAGCCAGTTCAGCAGGCTGGTCATTCACAAACTTTGCTGTGGGTCTCTGAAACCAGTGCTAGATAAAGTTTCTTTCTCATATTGTTTTATGTCCTTGAACTTAATGACCGTGTGAGGATACTTTATCTTGGATTCTGCCATCCAGAGGACAGGAATTTTGGGGTTCATGACATAGCCCTGAAAATTATCATGAGTAGTTAAAAGCCTTTGCAAGCTCAAAATCTTCCTTCTAGGAAGAGCAATAGAAAACATTTAATGTGGTAGCTCAGTACTAAGGCTTTGGCATTTGACAGTGGTGGCCCAGGTTCAATTCTTGGCTTAGGGGCTTAGGGAGTGAGTTCTTTCTGGTTTGTTATCTGTGTAACTTTTTGCCATTTATTGATTATTTTCCATGGACTGATTCTGATTTCCTGTCTTTATTTTTACTTTGCTGAACTACCTTTGGGGAGACTCTAATTATTGTTTAAAAAAAACCTGCATCTCTTTAAGACAGTTTATGCATCCATGGTTATGACTTTCATTAATATGTATTAATTTCACATGGGAGGTTACCTATGGTAGAATACAAAGCCAGAAACATTGACTGTCCTCGCTAGAGTCTGGTATTAAAAGATTTAAAAAGACTTTTTTTTTAGAAAAAAGAGCTCTGTGGTTACAATTAGTTTAATAAAACATGGATATCCAAACTATACATATATTTAAAAAGCTTTTATGTTTGTTTTCTTTTCTCTTCTTGGATCTTAATTTTCTGAAGAAGAAGAAAAAGTTTTTTTTTCTTCTCAGTCAATTGAGTTGTTTTTCTCTATTTTGTCTTCTTGCCATTTTTGATGCCCACACAAAAGAACCTAAGATAATTACTAACAGCCTGGAGCTCCTGGGAAAAACAGAGGTGGTGTCACAGAATGTAAACCCATTCTGGGAAAAACCTCTGTTTTCCTCATGGAACCCCAGGAATTAAAGGAGAATAGAGTCCTTTCAAAATCTAAAGCTCTGTTCTGTTTTACATTACGTCACCTGACACTTTTGACTTTGGGGGATATCCAAAATTACTTTGCATTGTAGGAGAGTTTTTAGCCTTGATGTGTAATAACCAGGTAGAAAATATATTTTAAGGGATGACTAATGGCACTTAGGAGGGTTACTTGGCTCTTTGCATCCTTAGATCAAAGAAACATGATCTTGATCACTTAGAGGCATGGATACATCTCCACCCCACCCCCCACCCCTGCTGAGATATGGGACTCCCAAAGGGCATGGGCTGATTACGAAATGAGCTGTTTGGCTTTGGGTTGCCTTGCAATGAAATGCATAGTAGGAACATTGCACTATCTTCTCTGGTAGCATTTTCCTCCTTTTTGGGGATCCAAGATCCAGTATAAAAAACAGGACCCTTAATTTTAGAGATCTGCTTTTTGCCTTCCAGCTGTGGCTACTTATTAGGCCATAGAAACTTCATGCTTTCCTGGCCCTGTTCCTCCAAGGGCTCAACCCTGAACCCAGTAATCCAATTAAGAAACTGTCAAATGAAAAATCTTACAACTACTGGATCTTCTCCTGTCTGTGTATTTATATGTGTTTGTGTAGTGTTTACATATGAAAGAGCTCTGATTAATTGGGTTAAAAATAAGCACTTAGGCTGGGCGAGGTGGCTCATGCCTGTAATTCCAGCACTTTGGGAGGCTGAGGCAGGTGGATCACAAGGTCAAGAGATCAAGACCATACTGGTCAACATGGTGAAACTCTGTCTCTACTAAAAAATACAAAACTTAGCTGGTCGTGGTGGTGCGAGACTGTAGTCCCAGCTACTCAGGAGGCTGAGGCTGGAGAATTGCTTGGACGCAGGAGGCGGAGATTGAAGTGAGCTGAGATTGTGCCACTATACTACAGTCTGGCACCTGGCAACAGAGCGAGATGCGGCACAAAAAAAAAAAAAAAAAACACTTCAATAGTTTGTCAGAAAAATAGAAACTTTAATGCCTTTTTGTTCACATGAATTTAGTAATCTTTGGAAAATAAAAACAAATTTAAAGATTTTAGACATTTGGTCTAGATTAAGGTCAAATG